GAATTAAAATAAAGTTCCAATTCATTTGAAATAAGTAGTGGAGTTTGATTTGGTATTAACAAATTGCAAAAAAAATTTCATATTTCAGTTGAAGATAAATTTATTAGCTGATGCTATGAAATCTGAATAAGTTAAGATAGTATAAAAGTATTATCAGTTGATTTTTTATAATTGGCTATTACTTTACAAATTAGTTCAAGAATGTCATTTTGAGACATATTGCTATATGCTAATTTTTTATAGTAAGGATCAAAAAAAACTGAAACATATAATGCCTCATTTATTTCATTAAAATAATTTGTAAAAATATATTTCATTTCATCTATTTGGTTTTGTAAAATAAAATCTTCACCTTAAAGATAATTTAAATGAACTCTAATACCTTTAAAAAGTAATTTAACTTCACCAATAGTTGAGTAGTTAGAAGCAGATATCACCTTTGTTACTGATGTAAAAGAAGCCAATAAATCTGCTAAAATAGTGAATACATTTCACTTTTCCTTACTAAAAGATTTGATACTAAATGAACCAAAAGAAACTTAATTTCTAATATCATATAGAAAGTATAGTTCCATCTCATAGCACAATCTAAAAGCGGTACTTTAAATTTAATTTTTTTAATTCAAAAATATTTTTACTGTACTAATAAATGCATATAACTTTTTAACACAATTTGAAATGATACTTGTATTAAGGGTTGCCTTAACAACCAGATTTAATACATGTGCTGTATAGTGATAATAGCGAAATTCTAGTAATAAATTAAGAGTTTCTTTAATTTGTTAAGTTGCAGCTAATATTTTTGCTTTATTATCACTGGTAATTCCAATTAATCGATTTGCAATATTTAATTCTAAAATAATTTCAACAATGATAGAATCTTTAATTACTGAAGTAGTATATAAAGGTGAAAAAACATACAATACATCTAACATAAGTCAAATGAAGAAAAATCAGATTTTGGCAATTTTTAATAAAGTGTGCCAATATTAGTATAAACATGCCTATTATAAAATATCTATGGATGATATTAATATATGTATGTCGATACATGTATAAACATGCTGATATATTGAACATGCCGATTTACATATCTTTATAAAAATAATTTATACTGATTCTAGTATAGCATGTACCAAAATTTAGCTGATATTCATCAAAGCAAATTTTAGTAATTATTAACATAGTTGCTACTTTGATAGATAAAGTACGATATAAATAATTTAATAATTGACTATGATAATTAGAAATTAGGGTTATTTATTTAATATAAAAAATATACATTATCTTTACTATACATAAAAAATACTATATTTAATGATTTATAGTGTTTTTAGCAACTCTTTAGTAACTTATACTAATGAATAACATATTTTAAAATTTATACGGATTTGCTGGTTAAGCAGTTTTAATAATTTATAGTGGTTTTATTGATTTGTAACCGGTCTAGTAAGACTACACACTAGTAAATACAAATTCATTTTATTCGATTGGGATTTATATATGTCCTTTCTCAGGCTAAGCTAATTTTATATTTACATGTATATGCATAGTGATTATACTAGGTGATCATGCATGCAGATTATATAGCTATTCATTTCACAAAAAAATAAAGTATAAGTTATATTTGGCTAAATATAATTAAAATACATAATGCTAATATTCAGTTGAAAGATATTAAGTCTATCTCCCATACAGAATCAAAATATGCTTCAGCAAGATTGCCCAAACTAGTCCTGCTAGAAATATTAGGAATATTTGATCGGTTGTTCCAAAGATTTCTAATCTCAGGTGCACTTGCACTACATTGCATAGGGTATCTCTCAAGACCGCCCATTAATGCAACAGGCTTTGGTGGCAAAGGAAGAGGGGTCAATGAATATGGCTTATCCATTCAAGATTCCCTTTGGGAATAGTAACTCTGATATTGGACAGGCTTTTTCAGAAAAGGAGTTAAGAAAGTATTGTTCATACAGATATTTTTTTGCTGGTTATAGGCGTAGTGTTTACATTACTTTGCACCTTATGCTTTTGCCTGATACATCTAATCCTATTTGATACATTTTCCTTAAAATCAATAATGCCAGGGTTTTTAATAAAAAAATTTTTCATTTATATTAAACTTTATAGTGAAAAAATCTAATTTGAAGTGTTTATTTGCTTAATTGTTAGTAAAATTTCGCAGAAATATTTAATTTTCATGGTGGTAAAAAATTTGACTTATTAACCAGGACTCCAACCACATCTCATATCAACAGATTACCTTCTTTGTGAAATAGCAAAGTGGAGGATTATTTTTCAGCTTTATGTAGTCTTCGAAGCAATATTCATTTCCAGTACAATTTGTACGCCAATGCTTATCCATAAAGAATGCATGGAAATACTCATACCCGCTTCCTAATTTGGAATAGACGAGCTGATTACAAGAATAGCATATTCCTATATTTACTCTGAACCAAACATTACACTGATATAATAAATATGTTTGTTTTCTTGCAATAAGATATCTCTTATTATAATCAGTTAAAAGATGATTTTTTATATATACCATTAATGTGAACCAAATTCGATCTTTCCAATCTGATGGAGTCTCATTCCCACGCATTCTAGGAAGATCATAGTTAATATGTGAATCAGCTACACTTAAATGTATATAGGGATCAGAATATACCATATTTAGCCGAAGTGCTGTGTAATGATTATATGCAATATACTGATTTTTATTGATTTTATTGATTTATAGCTGATTTAGCAAGATTATACTCTACTAAATCCGAATTCATTTTTACTTAGCCGGGGATGAAGGGTATGGGAATATTGCAGGCCTGAGGATTTATATAGAGACATATGCTAATTTTATATTCACATGCAATGTAAATTGATTCGCAGAGTAACAAGGATGTGCCTGATCGCTCTTATACGCATGATTCTAAGACATCAACAGCTTCCTACAATCAGGAAGTAGATATATATTCGTCATATACAGCTAAAATCATATGAAAACACCACACCTTATATGCTAGTAAAAGTTTTTATCAATATATCTACACATTACATAAAGCAGTTACATACACTTTTTTAATCCTATTTCCTTCGTGTTATTATTGTGATATAGTAATCATCAAGAAAAATATATTGTTTTTCCGACCCCGAAGACTGGCAAAAGGCTGGCGTATGTAAGATAAAGGCATTATGGCATTTGTATAATTTTTATATAAAATATAGTCCGTTATTTTTTTGTTATTTTTTGAGGGAGAGTTGTTTGGTACACTTATCCAATTCTGTACACGATCAGTTTCGTTATTGTTTAAAACATTTTCCTTTGACATCTTACTCTTTACATCTTGCCGATTAATAAGGAGCTCCTATAATAGAAAATAGAATAGTTGATCAACCGAATAAATCTTAAATGAGATATTTTATGCTAGAAAATAATGTAATACCTCCAAGAGGGCACCGAATTTCGCAATATCAAATAAATTCCATCCTTCAGAATAAGATGTAGGTATTCTAAAACTAAATACCTCGTAAATTCTGTATGTTTTAATACGGATAATATCTGTTACATATACCGAAACATTATATTCTAAAAAAAGACAAAACTTAGCTAGCCAGTATGTAAATAAAAGAATACATCATGTGTACAAAAAAATACTTACTGTATCCATGAATACTCACGGATTTAAAGGTCTTTGCAGTGGCAGTAGTACAATTGGCATATCGTGTGAAATAGTAATTTAAATCATCAACACTATTACGTGCAAGCTTAGAAAAATCTCCAAGATAATGTGAAAATGTGTATTCTTTTGGGCTATAAGATTGTTCGTATATAATAGTTGCTGACTTGTCTTGATATATAACTGCATCGTTTTTAGGGACACATCCACTATTAGATGGCTTTTGATCATAGTTGATATTGTATGTCCTATCATTATGGGCCTCATTATCAATTTCGCCACTATAACCAATAAAAACATAAAATTATAAAAGATATCATTAAAAAGAAAGGGGAAAATGCATATAATACATACAATTCTTTTCCTGATACAATTTTGCTAAAAAAAACCGAAAATAAGTCTAGTAGTCGGTAAATAGTTTGAGTAGACCATGTTTTTTCATTACAATCATCTTGCAAACCGCCATAATGGTAGTATAGAATGAAATGACGGGAAACTTCTTTGGATTAATAAGCGGTTGATCCAACCTGCCCAACGCATTTTTAATATCACCATCAAGTATTCTTTCAAGATATTGCTTAACACCGTCAGGAAGACTTGCTGTTATATTGATACCACAAGCTATTTGACTGTATAGCTCCTCAGCTTCTAACATTGAAAGCTTAATGAGTGGGTAAATCTGTCAACTCCTTAACTCTAAAAAAATTTCTTTTTCAGTATTGATTTTTTTCCCGCCCTTAACCTAAATAACAACGATGTTAAAAAAAAAAATATGATATAAGTAAACTTGGCAGTATTTTAAAAAAATTAACATACAGTATTAGTATAATATGTCGGTGCTTTGTTAGCAGGTTTTTGGCTATCAGCTCTTGTTTTGCTCTGTGATTAATGCAAAAGAAAAAGCACAGCGTGCTTAATACCCCCTAAAAATTATAATAACCCATGCTTAGTAGTAAACCTGTTTTTCATACCTGGTTGAGTTTTTCATTGTTAGTAATAGGTTGAAATTTTCCAAGATCAGCCTCAAGTTGTTCGTCGAGATCTTGTGGTTGAGACCTTCAGGGTCCGAGATCGAACGAGTCCCCGAGAAATAGTTCCGAATATCTGGTCCTTCCATTGAACTTCCACTAGAAAACGCCTTCTGAAATTTGAAAATCAATGTTCATAAATAAATCATGATATCGCATTTTATAGATTGTGATGATCTCACCTTATTTAATCGAGGTGAGGCTCTTTCCGTTTCTTCTCTATCTCGTTTTCCCGAAGTTATACGACAATTGTCGAAATTTTGTGCTGAATCTCCGGTGAGATTGTTGACCTGACTTATAGAACTTATAGTCCTTACCTAATTGACAAAAATTATTAATTTATCCTTTATCATATAAACTTCAGACTATAAGAACCTACCCGCATATTCATGCGAGTGCTGTCCTTTCCTATAAAGGCGCTGTACGATCTAGTCCATTCCTTGAAAAACAAGATTTCAAATCATTATACTTGCGAGAAACATTTCGTAACCAAATGTATTTATACCAGGAAAAAGACTAGCTCTTAATTCGTCGAATCCAATTAATTACCTTCCATTTATTTATAATTTCTTTCGCTTTTTCTCTACGGCTCGCTTCGAACTCAGAATCAGAACTTGTTATCCTTTTTAATCCAGTCCAATACTGTCTTCCAATCTTTCTGTTCCATTTTTTTACGATAATACTTCACCAAATTATCACACGTCCATTCTTCGACCTCGGTAACATGATAAAAGGACAATAAAGCGTTAATTGGATGAGCCATTCTTAAATGGAGTTAAAAAAATTTTTTTTAGTGTATCGTTCTTATTTTGTGGAATAATAATGGAATAAATGTAAAATCGAATTTATACAGAATAATATTTCATCGTCAAACTATACCAGGATTTGTAATCGGTTTAGCGTCACCGGAACACGTGACTGGGCATGTCGATTTTATGTAACAGTTTTCCAATTCATTGCTTGAAACGTCATGTCTGAACAGCAGCAAGCTGGGACTCTTAGTCCCCAGTGATGAACTCTTCGTTCGGCAGGCTGGGACTCTTCGTCTAACAAGGATGCTTTTACGGCAGTGTGACGTTAGCGCAAGCTGGACTCTTAGTCTACAGCTTTTTCCGATTAAATTTTTCCGACGTACAAAAAAAAAATAAAAACGTGGCAAACAATGAAAATATTGGCATTTATTTATTTAATGTATTGCTAAACTTTATTAGATGCTATCAAAGAGGGAGGGAGTACGCGGATCCTAGGCCATTTTTTAATGCGAGTCCCAGCATCAAGTTATTTCTTTGCTCTCTCAGACTTTTTATAAACTTCTACATCTAATTTATTTCTATCACTATTGCTAACTACGAGATTCTCACCCCAACACTCTTTTATTATACTAGATTTCCGAAATAAATTTTCCCACACATATCTACAGAATTTTCGTCTATCTATATCACTCCCACCCGCACAGACTATATAAAAGATTATTCCCCGCAAGAAAACTTCTCCGAGATTAAGTAATTTCGGAATCTACAGCATAAATTCGGGAGATTAGCAACTGAGGTAAAAAAATAATATTTTTGATTCACACTTACCACTACGATTCATTTTCACAACATTCCATTCTGCCTCATATGCAAGGAATTGATTGCTCTGCGTTATCGCCAGAACGATACTGCGTAAAGTTTCAATAATTCGGCACGTGAAGATGCTTATTACGTTTGATATACTGCGCCAGACTTTTGCTGTGCCGTTGCATGTGATGAGATTCATGTGAGTAATTTCACTGCGTCTATTGTACGCGTGATGATGGTCAACCAATTGATTTTTATTTAATTTTATTTAAAAAAATATTACTAGTACGCAGTTGATCAACATTAAATCTGCCTATTTACAGTAAATACAAATTATTTCATTGGATATTTTCCTGACCAATTGTAATCAATTTATTGATTTTATTCCGTTTCATCTACAAATTAATTAAATAATTAAATAATTAAATTAAAAAAAAGATTAAAAATTGAAAAAAAAAATTACGTAATAATGTCAAATATGTAGGAGGCTGAATTTTTTCAAAATCAAAAATATCATCTAACTTCCACTTGGCTCTTTTACTGATAAGTGGATGTTTCTTTTGTAAAATCTCGTTTAAATCCATAGTGCGACCAATAAGTGGTGCTATCTCATCATTTTCTTCATCCTCCTGATTTAGAATTTCTGATTCCTCATCTTCTACCATTTCAATCCATTCATTAATTAAATTTCTCCATTCACAAGGTAATTCAATATCTTGTTCCAAATCTTCAGAAGATTGATTTAAAAAATCATTATCATTATCAGATACATTAAATTGGTCATCATCTTGCTGTTCTTGAACAACTGGAATTGCAATGTTTGTATCTTTGAGTTTTTTATTTGCACTCATAATATTTTTCAGTCGTTTTTGCCGTTGAAATTCTCCCTTTATTTGACTCATAGCAAGAACTTTTTCTGACTGTAATAACATTATAAGTTATAACAGTTAAGAAAGCCAAATGATTAAATATGCTAAAAAAAATATCAATAAATAAAAATTTAAGGTAAATTTCATACATCCAAGCGGTTTCTTTTATTCGTATGAAAAAAGCCCATGGAAGAAAAAAGTCTTTCAACTGAGGCAGTATTAATACAAATAGCATATATTTTAGTAGAAAATGCACTTAAATCTGATGCATAAGCAGATGTAAAATCCCAAAACCCAAGTACACCATTACAAAATTGTTTCAATGACATATTATTAAATGGAAAATCTTGTTTTCGATAATTCTGCAACTCTCCCAATAGTGAGGTAAGTAATCATTTAAATCAAGCACAGAAATAGTAAATCATCCATTCACTCAATTAAGCAAAAGAAATTGATTGATTACGTTGAATAAAAAGATTATTTCGATATTCAGGGTGGAGAAGAAAAGAAATTAATAATAAGGGCTGTTCCCAAATATCCCATTATTTTTCTAAATGCGTAACCATTTTTTACTTAAATCTTGATCAGAATATTCTTGCCACATTTTGTAAAAATAAGCAAATCCATGAAGTATATCATGGAGACGAGTATTTTCTGCTTGTAATTTGTTTAACACTCCACAAAAAGTATATAGAAGCTTTTCTAATTGCTTAATTTCTTTCTACCAAATATTATTATCAATAGTTTTGCAGATATCAAGCGGCAAAGTTTTATTATTTCACGTTTCATCATCAAAATGGTAAATTGCTTCATCTTCTTGATCAAATTCTTCAGAAGCATATTTTGAAATAAGTACCTAAAAAAAATATGCATGTGTATAAAAAAATAAAATTAAAAGCTAATTTTATTAGGTATTTTAAATTTTTACATACCTTTAAAGCTGCCTTTGTTCGTATTAAACTGAAATAGCAATGATAATGAGAATTCCAATGTGTAACACATAGAAGAAGAAGAGTAAGATATTTATTATATTTGATTTTTTGCTCATCACATAATCTAGCCATAAAGTAAACTGATCTGTTAAGGTATGTAATAATTTAAATGGCCTTTTCAGATGTATTATCGCTGTTTTCAATTTAGTGCGATCAGCCAATTTTTCAGCTGCATGATGCTAAGGAAATCGGTTTTCACATTTCACGTGATGATCAACATTGATAGCCAATAAAATTTGGAATTTCATAAATTAGATAATCTAGTTTCACGCTTTGCAATTTTTTGACACGAAAAAAATGGTAAAAGAAAAGAAAAAAAAGTATAAAATTGGAACGTGTTTTGGATGTCAAAAATATTTATATTGCGGAATAAACTTAGAAAAGGATATATGTAAATGTAAAAAAACAGTTAAACCAACTAGAACAAATAGAACAGTTCAAGTTAAAACTGCATATCCAAGAATGTTTAACCCTACTTCTTCTAATCATAAACAATTTAACTTTATCAAAAGTAAAAATGAATGCTTTCAATACGGATATGATTTTAAAAAAAACATTCAATTATCATTTTGCTCAACATGCAATAGTTCTTATCAACGTTTGTCTTCTAAAAATTCTAACTCTTCTAATAAATCAAATTTAACAGAAGGAACAGAAAATACAGAAGAAAAAGAAACAGGAGGAACGAAAGGAACTGATATTGCAAAAATAATTGATCTTGAAGCTACCTCTTCCGAAATTTCTACAACAATAATTCAAAGTGAATCTAAATATAATAATTCAGAAACTGAAAATGAGAGTGATGCTGAATTAGAATTGGAAGTTAATTACAAACTTGTTATCAAACAAGCAGATGGTACCGTTCTTCCAGCCAAGAACTAATCAGTTACAATCTCAGAGTTGGATGAGTTTTTATTTGCAATTCAAAATAACATCACGGCTCTTCTTAAAGATAAAGAAATTAATGCTAATGATTATAATGTTTCTTTCAAATCAGAAAAAGCTCAAGGAGCGGGTACTCTATTAGTAGATGTATGTGATTTTGAGAATTTTAAATCAGAATATATTAAACTTGCTGCTGCAAAGAAGGTTGTGCTTATTCTTATTACCATGAAAAAAAAGGAAAAGCTAGTTAAACGAAAAAAGAAGGTAAATTTTTATTTGTTATAATTAATTTTTTTCTAAATATAATAAAAAATTTACATATCATTTATATGGAATTTTAATTAGGAATCTAATTCAGATAACGAAGAAGCAATTTGTGATGAATCAATTCCAAAGACCAATAACAATAATAAAGTTCCAAAAATATCAGATATCTTCATACTTGATCAAAGAATTGCAAAAAATGTTACAGAGTTACGAAAAGAAACTTGGTGTCCTATGCCTGTCTCTTATACACATCTAGATGTGTATAAGAGACAGATCGTGAATCTCATACTGAAATAAGTAATATGATGTTTTCAACATGGGCTACGGAAATGGTTGGTTATTTAATTTATAATATTGATTATTAAAATTGTTTAATTAACGCGTGATTTTTTAAAATATTTTAGCTTAATGGTCTTGCAACGGTTAAAGAACCACCAACACATCCTTCATTTGCATATACACACCCACCAAAAAATAGATCTCAATCCATTATACCACAATTTTCTAATAATATACAAGATTCAATTAATCCTTTTTTTTCTAATATTTTACAAGCATTAGTCACTCCACATTTTTTCCAACCACCGCAATCACAACAATCATTCCAACAACCACCATTACAACCATCATTTCAACAGACATCATCACATCCATCATCTCAACAAACTATACCTTCAATGGCCGAATTTTTACATCAAATAGATGAGATAGAAAAAACGGAAGATTATTATTTTAAATTTTTAGAGGGATTCGAAAAACAAAGAATTAAAGTTAAACATTTAAATAAATTGAATGATGCACAATTCGAAGCTTGTGGAGTAATTGCAATTGGAGATGTTGAAACTATTAGAGAAGCTGCTCAAAATTATAAATAAATAAAATTTTGAAACTCTTAAATTGTCTTAGTAATAAATTGAAATTTTATTTTATTGTTTTTATTCTATTTTTTTTCGTTATAAAAATTTTTTAGTTCTATTTTAAAAATATCCGCTTCCTCTAAAATAACCTCTTGCCATTTGAGATGTAATTTGAGAACAAGCTATAAGTAAAGGATAAATAGGATTATAACTAACTTCCACAAAATATCTATTTCTTTGTAAAAATTGTTTAATTGTAGAAAAAGCAGTTTCTATGGGATTAAGATCGGGTGAATAAGGAGGCAAAAATTAAACTTATACTCCAAATGAACTCAAATAATCAAGAAGGTCTTGATCATGGTGTATTTTAGCGTTATCAAGAACTAAAAAGCTATTTGTACTTGGAAAGAGGTTCATTTGTGGCAACTATAATATAATGTTTGATAATTTAGTTATTAATACAAATAATAAATTTTTTAATAATATATAAATAGCACTTACTACTTGTGAAATTACAAATTCCTTAAACATTTGTTTTGTACAACTTCCTTCTATGATGTCTACAGCAATTATACATCGTTCTGTTAATGCAGGTAAAAGAGTATATCTTTTGCCTCGAACAAAAACCACTTTTTTTAATGCTCTTGAATTTACTCTTGAATAACCATATAAACGCGTTGAAGTACGCTCATCTTTTGATGATTCATCCATAAATACCAATTGATCAATTCTATAACGGCCTATAGATGCAATAAATGCACTTCTCAACAATTCATTTCTTTCAGCAGCAGCTTTCTGCAACTAAAGTAATTATAAATTGATAAATTAATTAGTATTATTATAAAATTATTATAATGTTTCTATAAAATCAAAAAATTTACTTTTTTGCGAGTAATACCACAATAAGCTAATGATCTCCATAAAGTTGGAACAGAGACACGTTTTACTGTTCGTACTTGCATTACTTCTATATATTAATCAAGATAATAATCAACATTTTCACTAACAATTTCACGCAATATCTAATATATAATTGTATAATGAGTATACAACATATTCTTATACAAACAGTTCAGTTTACTATTTCTAATTATACTTACATTCATATAACTTCTATTGAAAACTTTTTTCTTTCCTGGTAGACGTCTCCATGGGTTTACAACACAACCCCACTTTGCATATATATTTATTACTTTATTCACTAATGTTTCTCCAATATAAAGTAGTTTTGCAATTTGTTTTCTTGAGTATCCATCATTATATAAGAGTATTATACGCCATTTGAGATCCTCAGCTAAAGTTTTGGCCATAAAAACTTCGCAAAAAGAGAAAAAAGAAAATTAGAAGGAAATCTTCAAAAAAACGCGTAACTTTATTGTTTGAAAACCAGCTCTTACTTAGTAAATAAAATACCTGAAAATTTGTAGGTGTCTAGTTTATTGTAAAATGTTTATGAAATTGTGAGGAAATTGGAGGAAATCAGACATAACGAAAAAGTTTTATTAGAAGCGTTTAAAAAAAAATGGTGGAAATCGGAGAAATCAAATCCGATTATCATATGGTTACATGATCAAGCTGATCGCACTAAATTGAAAACAGCGATAATTAAATTAGGAGATTCTTTAAAGATTTCTCTAACAATTAGGTTAGCTTGATGGGCAAAATAGGGGCCAAAAAAACGTTTCGCCACTCTAGTGCTAATCATTTTCTGTAAATTATAAAAAAAAAGTTACTATTAACAATTTAACATATCTTGCAGCTTGATTTAAAGATGCAGAATTAGTAATTACAGCATTGTATTTGATATTCTGTTTATCTAAATCACTTAAAAAATTTAATGTAAATTCTTTAATTTCCTCCTATTAAACATGATTTCTACTTATATCTTCTTTTTCCTATACTAAAACTTGTCCATCAGAGTAATTAAAACTGATCCCATAATTTCTTACTTATTGACATTTTTTCATCCATCAAAACATACAGTAACTTCAAGTTCATCTTTTTGTGCAGTATCAATTAAAGATTTTTTAATATGTTCTGAATTTGTATTCAGAATACAACCTGCTAGTACTTTTCGACTAGGTAATTTCAATTCTGGATTTGCAAAATTAATCATTTTTTGACTTGATTGATTTTTGACTCATCTAAATGATTACCCATTAAATCAGTGTTGGTATGGAACTGGGACATGTCCTTAGATGGAACAGTCCAGAACAGTCCAAGTCTTTGGACAAGACTTGTAATGTTCAAGGACATTTGGGACATTTAAGTTTATATAATATAAATGTAATTTTACTTTTTAATAATTTTAACTATTTAATTGAATTTAAAAAAGCATTTTAATAAAAATAAATTGGCAAAATTAAATTATTAGTACAGTCAACTCTCTTTATAGTCACACATTTGGGACAGTCCATATTTGGTGATTATAAAGAGATGTGACTATATAAAAAATTTCTTATATTAGTATATCATAATTCCGGCCAAAAATTAACATAATTTTAGCCAAAATTATACTCAAAACTTTATTGTATCATAACTC